GAACTCTGTGTACGAGAAGAGACCCGAGTATAGGATGTGCTGGTACGTCCACTCGGAGGTGCTGAAGAGTTTTGATCGAGAGCATCTCCCTGTCCCTTGTCAGTGGAACTACGTCACCCAAGTCCCTTCTTCAGGGAAGGAGGAGGGTGGCAGCGTGCCTGGCGTGGCGGTCCTGCAGCCCACCCCTGTGTCGGTGAAGAGGAAGTCCACCGGAAGCATGTCCATCACTAAATTCATGAAAAGGCCTCGAGGTGCTGAACAGGTGAGTTCCTGTCACAGTGCTCTTCCCCAGTAAAGAACGACGGGGCTGTAGCTCTGCGTCTTCCGTGGATGAGCGTCCTGGTGTGCCCCCCAGACCGACCTAGGTGAGCGGAGTCAAAATAGTGAGTTACACACACTGTCCTTCACAAAAAAAAGACCCTTTTTGTGGGGGAAGGAGTGAAATTGTCTGAATCTAAAGATCTGAGTTTCTTTTGTGTCTTTCCAGCTTGGACTGTCTGTTCCATTTGAAATGTTGCTCTCCTGCTGTTCTTCCATTTTCTGCTATTTGGCAGTGATTGCATCCAAGCTGTGAATAGTTTCTGAGTGTCTGCTTGGCCTTGAGTTTACAGCTGTATATAATTTGTATGCAGGTTTTTATGTGTGTGTATGGCTGCCAGATGTATAGCCTGAGCTGGTGACTTACATCAGTTGCATGTGTATTGATTAAACGTGGTTCATAAGTGCTGCATCTCAACTCGTAATAGTCTGTAAAGTCTCCAGCTTATACTGTCATGCATAAAGCTGAATTTCAAGAGCTGGCTTAAAAATACAATAATTCATAGAACAAAATGAGATGGATTTGGAGTAGTTGCTACTCCAGCTCTAGGCTTTGTTGTGATCTTCCTGTTGTTTGCTTCTGCTTTTCGGGGGAACCACAGGTAGCACTAAGAGTTTAATCATCCAAAAGGACGCCTGAGAAGTATGTGATTAGTGCATTAGCCATGTGATGCTCTTGTGCATTTAAGACACTAAGACTTTAGGTCCTGAAGTTTGGTGTTACAAACTGTTTGCTTCTAAACCTACAGGTAGGACGGGGTTTGTACTGTCAGTGGATCTGTTCCTCATCCCATGTGGACAAGGGGGTGATTAAAGAAGCCACGGACAAAGCTTTTTATGCTTTTCCTTCTCACCTTATTCTTGGCTGCTTTTGCTTTTCTACTGAGAAAGCTCTGCATTCAAGTACTGATAGGTATCAAAGACTTGTGAGAAGCTGTTCAGCCCCCAAACTCCATCTGCTTGGGTTTTTTCTTAAATGCTAAATAAAGGCAAAGATAAAAAATCTTTGCTTGGCACCCACTGGAAATTCTGCTTATAACCGACTACTTGAGCAGAAATAGCAAAACAAAAGCTTTTAGTAGAATTACATCACCTGCCTGAATTCTTCAAAGCTCTCGAAAGCACCTTAAAACTGGCCTAAAGGTGCTGTGCAGCTCAGCAAAGGTGTCAAGAGTCCCAAAAGCCTTTTGTGTCTGATGTTTAAGTCGTCACTGCTCAGGTACTACTGAGATGCCATCCCTCCTGTCGAGTGAGGCTGGAGCTGGGGGAGAGCCTGGGAACGATTGGTAGGTCGAGGCTGCCAGGTTCTCTGCCCCTGGCACGTGTTCCCTGCTATGAAGCTCACACCAGGGCTCGTGTCAGTAAAAGTGCTCTTACCTAAGCTGTGGAGAGAGGAAAAACTCAGTACTGAAGTGGGCAGTACCTGTGCATGTGTAGGAGGGGATTACTTAATCTGAGAACTGTGACTTTAATGAAAGATGTAAATTGAACATTTCTTCTCTTGGAACAGTGTGTACGGGGTGGGGACCAGGTTCTAGGTCTGAGATTTTCATTCCGCAGTTCCAGTTGAGGGAAAAAACGCAAAAAACACTTGCAGCTGTTCAGTGCTGGCCAACTTCAGTTTGTATCACTCCTTGTATTCATTTTCTCGATTCAAAATGAGTAGTTTGTGCTGCTCCCATGGCAGAAAATGGGGTCACCAAGGGAAGAACTGTCACCCCTTCCTGAATAAAAGCTAATTGGCAAAGAGGAAGAGGAGTTGGGGGGAGAACATGCATTGAACTTGACAAGCAAAAGTAATTTTCCATCTTCAGAAGGAAGAAAGCATCCAAAATATTCAGCAGAGGGGAGGGGGGAGGTTTCCCTTCCAAAAAACCAACAAAACTGAGTCAGATTTCAATTAAGGTTTGAACTGACTTTTGATGTGTAGGCTGTTCATCGCATTGTGTAACAGTGAAACATCCTGGAGCAGAAACTTGGCGTGCTTCCTGCTGTACGTGCTGTTGCAGACGAGGCCTTTTATCAAAAGTCAGTGTCTGTTGAAGCCAGGAGTTGCTTATTTTTCTTCCCCACAAATATGCCCAACTGATCAGACTGTGCTGCAAGTGCTAATTGTGAGGAGCGCTCACTGGAGTCCTTCACAGCACTGGCTGTGCTTCGTCTCGCACATTAGCTTGCTGAGACACAGCTGGTACCTTTTTTTTTTTCCCTTAAGGCTGAAGCTGCAGAAATGGATGGATTTCAGGCAGACACCGAGGAAGATGAGGAAGATGACGACTGCCTGATTGTGAATATACAGCCAGGCAAAGGTGGGAAAATAAAGCAATAGCAGTCTCTTGGCAGATGCTCTCTCCCACGAGGGAGAGTATGACAGAGTGGGAACGGTGTGTGGCTAAACCTGTTGCGGTTTTTCTAGCACTTTTTCACCAAGCCTTGTGCTCTTCTCTGTAGATGTCTTATTCTAGGTACTTCTCTGCTTTTTATGTTTCATTCTAGATATTTCTTTGCTATTTAAAGTCGTCTCTAACCCACTCTTGCCCTTTCTTCCCTCCTCCCTCCAGTCGACTAAATAGCACAAAGTGCTTGTGACTAGCATGTGGCTGCCAGTGTTACCTTTTTTTTTTTCTAGTAAGAAAAGTGAGCACTGGGGTTAGTATCAGCAGACCCACTAACTACTGGTAAATGTTGCTGAGCAGGGCTGTCCCAGGGCTGTGTGTGCTTATGTTCAGAGCCCTTTCAGGACTGACAAGGAGCATAACTTCCCCTCTGCGGCCTTCTTGAAGTGCACGGTGAATTGTCTGAAGGATGTAGCATTGGATCATAACCAAGCTCTCGGATGTCTGACAGGCTCTGGTCAACACTTTGCTCTAGAATCTAAGCAGTTGCTTATATTTGTGTCCCAGTTATCCCTTGGAAAACGGCTTTCAAAGCTTTGCTGCCGTAGCGTATCCTTTCAGGCTACGGATTCAGCAACAGTGGGATGAGGATGTGGAGCAGCTCCTTTCATCTCTGTGAGGTTTTAGCTATATGTACTCGATCATACAGATCAATGACTTAACACCAACCACATGATGTGCATTCAGCTCCTCTAAACCGCTTTCAAAACCTCCGAGCCCTTTCTTACCGCTCTCACAATAGAGCTCTTTCACAATGCTACTGGCACAACCTGAATTAAGGAAAGTGGGGGTTTTTTTTGTGTTGGGCAGCTCCTCTAACTGATAGATAAGGGCTCGTGCATATTCCTGAAGCCTTATATTCTATAGAGTGTTTGACCCATTCTAGACATATCTGTGTTCTCCTTTCTATCTCAGCTGGTGCTGTATTCCTCCTCCCACGTTCCATAACAGACAATATAGTTGTTTGACAAGAAGCTTTGCATTTAATCTTAAGCTGCTTTTGCTTATTACAAGACTGCAGCGAGATGAAAGCCTTGCTTCAGGTTTGTAACCTCTTGTTCCGAGGATGGGGATGCTATTCAGTGGTTTGCCGTCCTCGGGCTTTGTTGACACACGTGCAGCTATATTTGTTTAACTCCGCCTGAATCTAAAGCACTGAAAACATTATGAAGATTTTTTTTTTTATGGTTGAAGTGATTTTTATTCTGGATTGATGTGAACCCAATATTAAAGCCAGTTTTTAAATAGTATTTAAAGGAACCTTGCAACAGAAGGGGGCAGATAAGCTAAGACAGGTAGAGTATATAGTAGCCAAATTCTACAAGATTAATGAGGGTATTAAAAAAAAAAAAAGACACATTTTTCTACTTTGCAGATTCTATGTTGGCAGTTACTGAAATGGCTTCAGAATCCAGTGAGAGAAGAACCACTCACCCGGACACCAGTATGGTCAGCCCACCTAGTACAGTTTGAGACTTAAATGCCTACTAACTTCTCTGTATGTATGTAGAATGAATTAGAAAATTTTAAACCTTGTGTATCTTTGAACAAGATACTTGAAAGTATTCCATATTTCTTGTAAAGAGAAGACAGCACTTTGTTCTGCTTCAGACCAGATGGAAGCTTAAATTTTTAGTTCTAGTTTTTAGCTTAAATACTGCATATTAATCTGTCCTTAATAAAGCATTATTGAAATTTTGATACTTCTTTGTAATGCAAGGTATCTAAATTATCTCTAAAACTAGTGGAGGGATTTTGAAATAAGCTTATTGTGATGCCACTGGGGGAATTACTCTGTTCATAATGTTGTATAGCATGGCCTTGGGTATAAATGATGTACAATTATATTTGAATTTATGCTATCTGTATTTTTGCTATCTGTTTGTGGTCTTACTTGCTACAGAGAACAGCAGCAGGGCTTTATCTTTGGAAAAGAAAAGAAAAATGCACCTTGTTTCTCCTCTTTTGGGATAGGCCAGTATTAATTACATATTGGGGTAGATTATCAGTCTCCTGTACACAGTGTTGCAATGGAAGCTGTAATTAACTGGCTGTAGTTTGAGGCTTAATCTCTCACCAGTGGGCAGCATAAAGAGCTGTTGCCTGTTGTCGGTGTCCTGGTCTGTGGGTGCCCTGAAGTGAAAAGGTGGGTAATGCCACGGCTGCACCAGTAACACCAGTGCCAGCCCCAGCACTGACTGGAGCTTGTCTGTATTTTAAACCTTGCAGAGCAATGCAATTCAAGTAACTTTGAGAAATGAGTCTTTAAATATTCCATTTGAGAAATGAGTCTTTAAATATTCCATTTAATCAGACTACACATAATTTTATCTAAATATATTCTCTCCAATAGGAGTTACAGTGCACACGGAAGCAAAAGGAAAAGCTGAGTTCTAAGCCCAGCCCAATATCCAGCCTCTATTAATTGGTAATCCAGCCTAGTACTAGCACTTCATCCCTCCTCCAAGGGAGGAGAGTGGTGCTTCATCACGGTCTTGGAAATACCTCAAGCAGTCACTGCTAGAACTCGGTTTTAAAACCATTCAGAGCAGCCCTGTAAGTGTCTTACTGGGCCAGACTGCCTTAGTGGATGGTTACTGGAGTGGTGGAGGTGGCTGCAGGGTGGGTGTGACATAGCAGAATCTAGACTCCCGCTCTGCAGAACTAAAACAAGGTCATTTCTGAGGTCATGTATCTGGAAACTCCAACAGTCTGTATAGGAAAAAGAGGGAACAGCCTAAACGACCAGCACTGAATCCACTCCCCTTTATTTCATGACAGTGTCTGGACTCTGGAGAGAAGTTCTGGTTTCAGGGGGCTTGCTGGCTGCTCCTCTCCTGCTGCCTCAATGTCTGCCATGACTGCTGCGTCCCAGGCCAGAGTCAGGAGGGCTGAGGGCACCTGGAGCAGAAAAGGCAGGGTTATTAAGCTATAGCAATGTTATACTTTGACCTCGTAACATGGTGTGTGTGTGTTTACAGACCTGGAAGAACTTAGGGCACTTCACCTAAAAAGGACAAGTGTGAATTTCTGCAAGAAGCTCCTCAGGGGACACTGCTCTGGGCTTTCTCTTGGAAGCCCTGTGCTAGAGCTGTGCTTGCCTCTGCTGCCTTCCCTCTTTCCCCAGGGTGGATGCTAACCCTGTGATAGAGCTGCTGCCAACCTCTGCAGCCTGTGTTTGCTACAGGAGGTAGGTCCTTGCAGTTCTTCCAGACAGACCCCACAGCCTTGAGCTAGAAGCTTTCACGCAGTCTTTGCTTGAGCTCAAAGAGAAGCGGCCTGAGCACAACTGGCAGCACTGAGCGCTGAAGACACAAACTTCCCTAAGTTACGAGCAGCACATCACTGACAACCTGAAGACCCCTGTGGAAGGAACCAGCTGTCTCTCTTTACTCACCAGCCCACATTCATTGAAGGCCAAGTTCTCATCAGTCAGTTTGAGACCTCCAGGTCCCAACAGCTCAAAGGGCAGCCAGTCATCTCGGAGTGCTTCTCTCACAAAGTTGTAGAGCGTGGATACTGATTCTCGCGCATAAAAAGTCCCTGCCATGAGAAAACAAGGTGAGATATTGAAAGAGTCTGGCATTTACCAAATCTGATCTTTTGTGGTAGGTTTCATGGGGCTCACGTACTGTTGCTAACTTTATGAACTACTTCAGTGGCACAGAAACAGCCTGACTGAACTCAGAAGTATAAAAGCAGAATCCCCATAGAAAAAAAAAAAAATTACTTCTATTGTTGCAAGCCCCTGCCAGCCTGTAACAAATAGTTGGGAAAGCCTGAAATGATTTCCAGAGTTCTACTGCAAAATCTGAAGAGGATTTATACTGTTGTGTAGCCTGACATCACACAGGCAACCTCATGCTGGTTACTATAACAAACTGATCTAATGAGTCCAGCTTGCTGCAGTAGCCTGGGAAGAGCACGCTTTAATTAACAGCGCCTTGAGATTCTTCCCTCTCCACTCAACCCCGGCTTACAGTCCCAACCTTGTGCAGGTGAGGCAGGTGGAGGGCTCGGAGATGGGAAGAGTTCTTAATGAAAAGTCACCCCACTCTGGTTTTTGTTGCTTTATTCTACCATCTGTGTTCAACACCCCTCAAGCCTGCTTATTATTCAAGCTCTTGCACTGCAAGTATTCTCAGAAGCTTTTGGAGGTAGACAAAGAAAAGGCGAGAAGTCTTTTACCTTGGAGGATGTATCCATCAGGAAACCGGACTCGCACCAGGGTGTAGTTGTACTTCCGCATCTCCCTTTGTTCTTCTTTCTCTCTCATGGCTCTTGTCCTCAGCATCGAAGCCTTCTCGACTGCTTCTGTCCTTTAGAGAAAACACAATTTTTAACATGAAGGAGAGGTACAAGACTCCTAAGCTGGCACTGCGTGCCCCCTGGGCAGTCAGGGCCCTCCTCCTCCTAAGTCTACTCACCGGAGCCGCTGCTCTCGCTTGATCTCTTCTGCAGTGAGGTTGTAAAAGTCATTTGGCAGCTCAAACCGAGCAGCTTCAGGTGATGGTTTAAAGAGACAGAGCTGGCGATCCAGCTGGGCTCTCACAGGCTCAGAGCTTAAAAGCTGCTCTTTGTAGTCCTTGAGGTCTTCCAACTTGGTCAGCATTTCTTCCTTCAGTACATAGTACTCCTCTGTGGTCTCTACAACCAAAAGGAGAGGATTTGAGTCTTGTTCTTTATGTGAGTAATGTATGAAATACAAGGGCAAGGATCTCCAGAAAATGTAATGTCTTAACAGGGAAACTGCAGGGTGAGTGGCTGTTTCTATTACAGCCTCAGAGTAACAGCTTTTGTGGAGCTCTTGGCAACCAGAGCTGCCTCGCTTGCCTCCCCTGGCATGTCCCACCACCACTCAGACTCCTGACTCAGTTTAATACACTTAGATTTCTTGCCTTGTCCTGGAACAGGCAGTGTTTTTGTCTCAAACCCAATAGCCTGGAAAAATCTGTGTATCCCTTCCAGGCAGCTTATCCTTTCCTGGAAGAAAAGGAAAGAATTTAGATGTAGTCTGCTCCAGGCAGGGACTTTCCTAGGCAGAGCACCTGTAGGAGTCTTCACCTCACCTGAAACACTTTGTTCTGCAATTTGATTTTCCGGTACTTTTCCTCCTCTGGATGGAGATAGATATTATCCAAGTATCTGCAGAAAAAGGAATGCACTGCATGGATCAAAGCAGGCACTTCACAACAGGCTACCTCAAGGTGTAAGAATAATCTGAGAGACCTCCCAGTATTTCTCATTGGTAAGAGCTGAGAAACAGGAAAGTAAAATACATGAGTGTTTCATGTCCAAGCCAGACAGATGCTGATCTCTATACCAGTAGTTCCCAAACCTCTTGGATTAGTGAACCAACTCTTAAACCACCTCTGAGATGCTGACCTTATTTCAGCTGACACTTAAGCTGGTTCAAGTGTTCAGCTTTTGGTTTTCTTCAGACTTTGCCTGGAGAAAGGCAAGAAAATCCACCTGCCTGTTGGCCTTGCAGGGAAGGGATGAGCTGTTGGTGTGCCACAGCCCACTTACTTGGCCATGGTCTCCACGCCCACTCGTACTTTCTCCCGGTCCTTATTGAAGGTGTGAATCTCCATGATCGAGGCAGCTACCGGGTCTATGGAGAAGTACTGCGGGAGAAGAAGAGAAACTGATGCTACTCTGCAGAAGGATGTGGGGGGTTGTTGGGGTTTAACCCTGACCAACATCTCAGCACCATGCTTATTCCCCCCACAGTGGGATGGGGGAGAACTGGAAGGGTCAGAGAGGGAAAAATCCCCATGAGTTGGGCTAAAGACAAGTTAGTAAAGCAAAAAATCTATGCATGCAAGCAAAGGAATTTCTTCACTACTTCCCCGTTTTGCTTACACACTGGAAACAGCTACACTTCCCATCACCAATCCAAAACACAGCACCATCTGAGCTGCTATGAAGAAAATGAACTGTCCCAGCCAAAACCAGTACAGGCCTAGAGTTCCCAGTGTTTCCAGCAAGCCGAAGGGAGAGCACTCGGATGGGCATTGGTACAGCTACAGCAGAACAGAGTTGCCCTTTGGGAGACAGTGGAGATTTTACAGGGAGAAGGCAGAGAAGTCACTGCTCGAGGGGACCCATGTCACAAAATGAGTGAAAAGAGGAGGAAGGGAAGCCATGCGGCTGGCAGACGTGGCACTTACCGACTGGATGGCTTCTCTGAGGTGCTTTTCCTTCTTGTCTTTCCTTACAACTGCACCAGTCAACGGGCAAATGAAATAGACCCCTGAGACAGAGGGCGCAGCTGCCCCTTCCTTGTCTGGGGAGGCAAGGTCCTAAAGGAGACAAAATCAGGCCCCAAACTGAACGCAAAGAGGTTTTTTTGGGGTATTCTTGTTTCTAAATACCCTGACACATCTGCATGGGACAGGGACAGCAGCACTGAAGGGTGCTGATCAGGGTCTAGTAGTGTCTTGTACCTCTTTCTCTGCGGAGAGCCCCTTCTCACTTGCAGCTGCCTCGGCCATCAGCTCTTTTCTCACTACGAGAGACAAACCCAAGTTACGGCGGTGGACGGGCAGAGGGTCAGCAGGTTTCAGAGGACTTCAGAGCGTGCAGCACCACCCGGGGCAAGCAAACACCTACCTGGGTGCTCTGGCCTGTGAGTCTACGGATGAGTGTGACCCCGTTTCTGTGCCACTCAAGCAGTCACAGAAGCCAGCTGTGCCCCAAAATCTCTGCAAAAGCTGCACCCCAGTAGTTGCCTACGTGGGATCTCCCTCTCCAGGCTCAGCTCAGAGCTACAACCATCCCAGCCAGCACCCCTGTCCAGCTGCTCCATCCCCACAGCGGCGCAGCAGGTCCCTGTCCTCCAGCCAGCTCTTACCCTGGTTCTTGATGGCTTCCTGGGACGAGGGCAACTTGCCCTTGGGCTTCAGCTCCATCCGGGCCAGCGCCGCAGCCGCTGCCATCTGCGCTTCATCCGTCGGTCCCTGACGAGGCTTCGGCGCCGCTTCGGCTTTTGGCTTCTCCTTGGGGACCCTGGGCAGGACCGAGCAGCAAAGCTCAGGAGGAGGCGGGCTCCGTGACCCGCACCCGCCCCGTGACCCCGGGGAGGAAGCCGGGAAACCGGCTGCCCCGGTGCGGCAGCATCGTTGTCCGGTGAGTGGCGGGAGCCCCGCGGGACGGGCGGCTCGGGCACAGCGGTGAGTCTTG